ATGTTTTGTAATAACTTTTTTATTTTTTACTGTTCTGATCACAACCATCCTCATTACCTCGTAAGAGCCATATGTGGTAACTGTCCAGGGTTGTTAATCTGTATCTCCCGCCAGGAAATATACCAAATTCTAAGAAGTAGGTACTGCATAAAGATGTATATTTTATATTAAGAAGTTATATTTAGCAGTAAAGCAGTTATATAAGTCAGTGGCATTCCTATAGCATATGCTATAGAAATATACAGTGTCCATATATATATGGCACTCATGTAAAAAACACACATATCCACATATGGGGCAGTAATAGTATAATAGTATTTGTTGAACACAATATTTGGTTTTCACACAAATCCACCTTTTGCAAATCAATTGTTCCTCTTCCCAACATACCCCAGGCTGGCAAAAGACAAGTGAAAATAAAATCCCTGCCGGACATAGTGGTATAAAAAGCATTTTCCGTTTTATGTGCACTTTACAACCCAGAGAAAATAAAAAATTCATTTTATTTCTGTGCAGTAGTTTCTAAAATATAATCAGAAATGCTAGTAAACATTTAACTTCAGATTAGCTTTTTCAAAACTTTTAAGCGCTGGAATGAAAGATTTGCTTACACTCTGAAGCGGGTGCTGGGCATCTTTTTTAAGCTTCCCTTGGCATCTCATTTTCACGCACCATCTGAGATGACTTGGAAAACACCAGAAAATAACACCACCACTTCCACAAAACAACTGCCTGGACAGTGCCTATTTCTACAGCCATCATTTATAGAACTCTTTTTCTGGGGAGAAATTTTATTTTAAGCGTCAATACTAAAAGATGATATATTTGGAGTTGGCTGCTTCAATCAGTAAATGTAGTCAGCAACTACTCAGAAAGAACTTATTTTTAATAATTGGAAGAAGAAATATTTCTAGCTGTTATTTTAAAATGTCTAGAAAGGAAAAAAATTGTTTTTGTGGAATTATTAGCATACAGTCTGTGTAGTTTAAAATGGCTGTGTAAAATGTCATCATGTGATTTTTTTACAGTGAGCATGACCCAAAAATGAGGAAAAGACTATGAGTCTATTTTTTCTGCAGACTGCCTTCCTTCTTTGTGCAAATAAGGCTAAGAACTTCCTTCACATTGTAAGCAAAGCCTGAATGCCATTGCTGAAATATTTGAGAAAGCAGCTTCATCAGCAGAGATCAATTTCTGGAATCATTCACAATTCAACATTTTCTAAGATGTGTAAAAATTATTATAGCTTTAGTCTTGACAGCTGCCTTTTTAAGGAAATAAACAGCAGAAAACATGTAAACACATGCATATACTTATATACAAACACACATGCACATTCACCACACAGCTTATGAAGAGATATACAGTGTCCATTGAATCACTCAGCTTCATTGAATGAATATGCAGACATTTAAAAAAGTAATGAAAATTTCAAGTGATACTAAAAAATAATTTTGGTGTCCTGTTATTATAAATGTTGACATATATATATATATATATATATATATATATATATATATATATATAGTGTGTGTGTATATAGATATAAGCAGAGAAAAATATATCAATATAAATGTACAGTAAATATGTGTTTTTACGTATATTTAAAATATAAAATAATATAACAAAGAAGGGCCGGCTGCCGTGAGTCACACCTACAATCCCAGCACTTTGGGAGACTGAGATAGGTGGATCACCTGAGGTCAGAAGTTTGAGACCAGCCTAGCCAACATAGTGAAACCCTGACTCTAGCAAATACAAAAATTAGCCAGGCGTGGTGGTGGGGGCCTGTAGTTCCAGCTACTTGGGAGCCTGAGGCAGAAGAATCTCTTGAGCCTGAGAGGCAGAGGTTGCAGTGAACTGAGATCAGACCACTGCACTCCAGCCTGGGCAATCAGAGTGAAACTTTAACTTGAAAACAAAAAAAAGAAAAAAAAAAAAGTTTTCTCTAGGTAAGATAATGATAGAAATTTTCATTTTTGCTACTGAAATTATTTTACTATTGAAATAAAGAAAATGTTATAATAGCCAACATGAGGCCAATGTCATTTATTTAATATCAAAATTAATATTGGAAATATGTCTATACTTTAGGCTACCACCTATCTGCCTGAAATAATTAGCATGAATGACTAATTTTAAATATTGCCTAGCAATGCAGTTCTCTTTGAAGATATTATCATGTGATAAACTGCTATAAAAAGTCTAATTGTCTTCAGAGTTTTATAGTCATCAACTTCATTTTCAGTTCAACATTTTAACATATTTTCCCATATTTTTTTCTGAAGCTTTAATCTCTGCAAAGCCCATCTCTAAATTAGAAGGAAAAGATAGACAGTGAGGGGGAGCAGCAATTAACTGTAATTTGGATCTTGGATATAACTAAAAACACATTTTGCTTCTTTATTTTCATGTCAGTTTGCAAAGAAAACAGTTCTGACTTTAGCTAAATGAAGAAATTTTTGTTTTATTTTTCTTTTTATAATTCTACTTATATCACATTTCAAAACCTACTTTGAATTTTCACTCAGTTCCTGCGATATTACCATAGACTCTTTGAGCTGTTGGCAAAATGGATCCATTTTATAAAATCATTCCTTTTGCATTGAGCTTTGCCTGTCTCATATATTTAGATAAATTTGAAAGCAAAAGCAATACCCACTGTGTTGAATATCTTTAATAGCATGGTTGAAATTTATAATTTGAAATTCATAAGTTCAAAGAACATTTATCTACCGCTTGATTTTACGCTTGAAAGTTCCTAAGCTTCACAGTAGTTTGAAAAAAAAATTAGAAGGACAAAAAAACTGCCTCCTGTCATTCATAGTGATTTTCTTTATGTTTGAGTAAAATATGCAGAAACTTTCAAAGGAACATCAAAACCTCGTTCCCTCTTATTGTTGCCATATTATTTTTAATATATTACCCAATCAAGTTTTTATGCTATGCTTATGCTCTTACACAAATACGCTTTTAGAACAAATTTTGAAGGACATACAAGTCCACAAAATGAATAAGTTTACATTGGTAACATTAATACAAAGAATGATTTTATTTTATTGAACTTAAACCAGACTCTTGAGTTTAGGAGCACAGATATAGCCACAGTTGAACTTACATTTATTCAGGCTATATTTGTGCTGTTAATTACTCATGCTAACACACAGGAAGCTTATTTGCAACAGGATATTTATATAATTTAAAACATTTTCAGAGTTCTTTTGTGTGTGTTGAAATGTTAAGATAACATAATTCATTCTTGTTTTTTTTTTTTTTGAGACTGAGTCTCGCACTGCCACCCCAGCTGGTGTTCGATGGCTTGATCTCGGCTCACTGCAACCTCTGCCTCCCAGGTTCAAGCATTTCTCCTGCCTCAGCCTCCTGAGTAGCTGGGATTACAGAGGTCTGCCACCACGCCCAGCTAATTTTTTGTATTTTTAGTAGAGACAGGAGTTTCACTATGTTGACCAGTCCGGCCTCAAACTCCTGACCTCGTGATCCTCCCACCTTGGCCTCCTAAAGTGCTGGGATTACAGGTGTGGGCCTCCGTGCCCGGCCAACAGAACTCATTTTTAACCAAACCTTTGCAAAAGAGCAGTGCTCGTATGCAGATTTTAAGACATAGCCCAAATAGACATGCTGCAAAAGTTTAACATTTTTCTTTTGGGTGATCTGTTGATTGCAAAGAGCTTTTAGACATAGCAATTTGTATGCTGAATCAAATGGCTGTACCCAAATGAGCAAGAATAGTTTAAAACATTTACATCAGCATCTGCATAAAAATTAATGTACATATTATTTATAAGAATATATTATGTATATATGTATACATTTATATTATGTATAAGAATATATTTACAGAAATATGTTACTAGAAAATTGTATATGATGCAATATTTCATTTTATGTAATATTTTATGTACATATTTATTTATTTATAGGTAACTTATAGACCTTTAAGACTATGTACATTTTTCATTTATCCTTGGTCTCCAGTTTGAATAACACTGACTTATGGCATCACACTGATAATTTTCTCTACTATTTAGTTCTCTTCACTATTGCTATTCATGTGTATTTTATTCCATGCTCTAATGTAGTGTACTACACATGTGTTGAATTTTAAGAGAAATTAACAGAATGTCAATGTTTTTCTACATTACTCAATATAAATATTCTATAGACAGAATGAATTAGAACAAGCTATTTGTGAATCTGAAAGAATAATCAGTGATTCTGCCAATCATCTGTTAAGAGTGGTAAACTCATTTAAACTCAGCCTGTTAAAAATGAGATATGCTCTGCTATATATGACTGAAACCTCTTGGTGTGCCAGATTTCTTCTTTCTTTAGGAATGATAATGCTTAGTGTTTTCTGGGTTCCTTTGCATTACTTCCCACTGGCTTCAGGTCATTGATTTCATCTTTAGAACATTTGGAAAGTTTATTTTGTGAATGTTTACGAGCTAATTTATTTTTATTGCAATGATTATTTAAAAGGAAACAATAAGTACACCGAAGATTTGTGCATATCATTGAAAATGTTATGCCAAAGGGATACAAAAAAACTCAAAACAAATTTTCAAAATTTGTTGTTGTTTTTTTGCCTGCTGATGTATCTGAGGTTGTACTTTTCTTCCGATCTCCAAAATACCTCAAAAAAATAAATAAATAAATAAATAAATAAATAAAAGCTGGATTAAGAGAAGGATGAACAGGAGAATGGATATGAAATCTATCTGATAAGGCAAGAAGATTAAAAGATGAATAGAGAATGTCTTCAGTATGTATGTGTTCATTGCAGTTTTCAACTCTTTGTGTTACAACTTTTATAGTAAGAAGTTGGAGAAGTAAAAAACAAAAAACAGAACCATAAGATTTTGGTTTAACATTTTCAGTTAAAGAAATTGTGTTGCAAATTATGACTTTTTAATATGACAACATCCCTTTAATGGTGTTCTTTCTTTCTCCTTCTCTTTCTCTCCCTCTCTTCCCTAAAGCTCCATTCCGACTTAGACAAGGGAGAGGGCACTGTTAAATACACCCTCTCAGGAGATGGCGCTGGCACCGTTTTTACCATTGATGAAACCACAGGGGACATACATGCCATAAGGAGCCTAGATAGAGAAGAAAAACCTTTCTACACTCTTCGTGCTCAGGCTGTGGATATAGAAACCAGAAAGCCCCTGGAGCCTGAATCAGAATTCATCATCAAAGTACAGGATATTAATGATAATGAGCCAAAGTTTTTGGATGGACCTTATGTTGCTACTGTTCCAGAAATGTCTCCTGTAGGTGAGTAGGCAAATCAAAGTTCCGTGAGATGTTACAAGACCTCTTTAACATTTACTTTGTGCAGGTTGATACAAACATTTTATTTGTCATAGAAAGATGATTTTTCAATTCTAGAAAATACAGTTTTTTTCATTTATTTTCATAACTTTATGTTTTTCTTTCTCCATTAAGAAGACAGCTACTAGAATATAGAACATTCTTTACTGTTTTCCAACCTGTTAATTTACCTGAACTCTTAGATCCCTTGTGTGCTTTAAGTGATATATTTTTTTTTTATTGAAATTGATTGTCATCGTAATTTCGGACACCTATCTAGTGCTGGAGATACCTGCCCTACACTGTGAAATACCAGATAATAATTCTTAGCTCAGAGTAAATTATCTAAAGCATGCATCACATCTGATCAGAGGTGGTCCAGAAACAGATGTGTTGCATCCTTTGTAGCAGCAGCCATCATTTATAGAACTCTTTTTCTGGGGTTGATAGAGATTCTGGAAGGGTGATATTGTTTCCTTTTCAGGGTAAATAATCCACACTTGTTATGCCATCAAGCCAAGGTGCAAATGAATAATGTCACGAAATCATTATTAGAATGACAAGTAGAATATAGTAGCACCATCATTCTAAAAATTTAAATTTGACATAAATATACATTTCCGTATATACATTTACAAACTCCTGTAATATGTAGGATATAAGGTCAATAAGTTAAAAATTCCAGCTTTAAAGATTATTTTAAATTATAATTTTTATTCCTCAGTCACCGCTGCTAATCCTTCAATTTATTTCAAAGTAACTTCTGGTTTTTATTACATTGGGAAGATAAAGCAACTTATCACATGTAGGTTACAACTTAAAACTCGTGTGTGAGCCATTGCTAATAATTTCTAAATCTGATGTGCCTCAGAGGGGTTCTGATGCTCCTACAACCACCCAAGACATGAGATGAAGATTGTGCACGCTACCCCTAGGGCAGAGCAGGTCGGTAGCTGTAGGAGCTGTCACATGGATTTATTATAAATGCACTTGAAATTGTGTATGTGACCTTATCAGGCATTTAAAGACTAATCTCTCCTTGACCTGAGAAATCAGCTTGAAGTAATTCACTTAGATTTCAAATTTTAATGTGCATACCCATGCCTGCAAATCTGTTATTCAGTACCTGCTACACTTTTGGGGTGCCTCTTTTAGACACTGTTATGATTGCTAGAAATTTAGAAGTCCAATTGGAAAGAAGCATATCTTGTTAGAAAGTAGTCCCAGAAAACAGGGAGGCTGTATTTTAACTATATCTTGATTATACAGAGGGAAAAATAAAGTTAATATTTTGAGGAGGAAAGAAAGGCTTTTAAGATGACATGCTATATAGTAGACAAATAGTTTAACTCAGTACCTACTTCATGTACACTGGACATGTTAACTTGAATGTATGACCCTCTGTGACTTTGTATTACCAAAACAGCTTCTTTAAAGCAAACACACACACATGCCTCTACAGTATTGGAACATTCTGTCTTATTAGATAAAACAATTAGGATTTTGTTTTGCCAATTAGAATAACTAGGGCTGCAAAGCTGAAGCCCTCTTATAAGGAGTTTGCAGCTCATATCCAAAGAGAGAAATATATTTAGAAAGTCAAAAGTGTAGGTAAGTGAGAACACAGAGCAGTTTCAGCTTTTGCAGGTGGAATGGGATATAACTCACTGTGCTGTCATAAGATATTGGAAACATCTTTGAAAGAATAGGTTCTTAAAGTGTTCGGTCTCGTGCCGTTAATGAAATTTCCCATTGGGCCCTCAAGACAACTCCAGTAAAGACTTAAATGGATTTTCAATGTACCACTTTCTTTTATTTTTCTTTATTTATTTAGAGACTGGATCTTGGTCTTTTGCCCTAGCTGCAGAGCAATGGCCCAATCTTAGCTCACTGAAGCCTTACATTCCTGGGCTGAGATCCCTCCAACCTCAGACTCCTTAATAGCCAGCTGTGTGCCACCCACTGCCTGGCTAATTTTTTTTTGTTGTTGTTACCTTTTTGTAGAGAGGGGATCCAGCTGTGTTGCCAGGCTGTTCTCAGATAGTTTCCACCTCAAATGATCCTTCCACCTTCGCTTCCCAGAGCACAGGGATCACAGGCATGAGCCACCCTTCTGGCTCCTCTTAAAAAAAAAAAAATTATTGCATTTTGGGTTTTGGGGTACATGTGAAGAACATGCAAGTTTGTTGCATAGGTACACACATGGCAGCGCGATTTGCTGTCTTCCTCCCCTTCACCTATATCTGACATTTCTCCCCATGCTATCTCTCCCCAACTCCCCACTCCCCGCTGTCCCCCCCCATTTCCCCCCAACGGACCCCAGTGTGTGATGCTCCCCTCCCTGTGTCCATGTGTTCTCATTGTTCAACACCCGCCTGTGAGTGAGAGCATGTGGTGTTTGATTAATAGCAGAAGGGTATTTCTTTGGAATATGAAATTTTACCACATGGTGTGAGTTGGTCCAGGTGTTTTAACACTAAATTTACATAGTATGCACTTTTCACATAAGTACAAAGAAGTATAAACACTAGTTATTAATTGAATGCTAAAAATTAAATCTCATTGCATTACTTTTGCCTTTCCCCATAATCTCACGTATACACATAAAACAAAAAACAAGGACACCCAATTACAGTTGTGATATCTGCTGTTTCTGCCTTGAAATTTCTAACCTACAACCTACTGTGTATCCAGAACTTACATGTATGTTCCCAGAGTACTTGAAGTCCATTTTCAAGTGCACCCTTCCTACCAGATGAAAATAGTTCACTGCTATAATAATCTAAGAAAATATGATGTTTTTCTCTATTTTTTTCCTCTCATATAATCTAGGCAATTCTGCCTCTGTATCACTTTCCTGAGAATACAAAAATAATTTTTAATCAAGGCCAGATGGAACTTTGGTATATTTACAGTATATCTATTGTTTTGACTAGTCTCACTGTCTGTTGTGATAAAATTTGAGGTACTCCCTATGAAATAACTTTTCTGTCCCTAGAATTGAGAATACTAGTGTTTCATTTTCAACAAAAGAGAAGATTGAATCAGTTAAAAAATACATATAGTGAAATAACTTATTTTGTAACATAGAACATAACATGAAGAAATATTGGAATATGGAGATGAAGTTTAACAGTAATGGATTCTATATCCAGAAATATGAACAAATAAATGTGCAATGAAAATTTACTAATGTTACTAATTTTCACTTGTGTAAAGGGAACATTACAAAGAACATAATGTATAAAGAGAGAACAGTGTTGGGTAGAGAGGGTCAAGGTCTCAGAGGAGGATCAATATTTAAGACTTACAGCACTATGGAATATATTCAATTTCCTAAAATTGAAGAAAATTCCAGTGAATCTATGAATTGTTTAAGAGAAAGGTCACTCTGTTACTGACTTCTGATACATCTAATATTCCAGGGAAGTATTACTTCGAGATAAAGACCTTTTACTCTGACCTAAGGAAATTACTTAACGATCCAGATATTCCTAAACTCAAAGCTTCTCCTTGGAGACAAATTTGGACTTTATGAATGTGGATTTAATTTTTTAAGATCACTAGAGCAGCAATAAATTACGGGAACATACCCTCTTTAATATCTGATGATTATGCATAAGTGGGGTGTGCAGTTTTAAGTTACTTTTCCTAGAGTGCTGACAGGTTTAGAGTGTGAAATCCATACTCAACTTGTATTATCTTCCTCTGCTTGAGCTATGCCAACTTGAGACAGCTGATTTGACTATTTATAATTAGATGCCTAACCTATGATATGATAGAGTAGATGTCAATGGTGACTCATGATTTATGTAGTAAGTCTTACCATTTTGTAATCAATAGTCAGGGCCATGTGATCTAAATAAGATTTGCATTTTGAATTAACCACATGCATTTTAAATAACCACATGCAGTGTTATTTACTGTTTGATTTTTTTTTAATGTGAAAACTTAATAACCCCGATGGATAAGAAAGTAAGAATGAGTCTCAGGCACTTTAGAACCAAATTAAACATAATCAAGTATGCCATTTTGTTTAGGTCTCATGGCTGCTAAAACATCTTTGGGAAAGTTAAACTTGGCTTTCAATTTCACATGATCGGGTTAAGAGTTTGGAACATTTATATTATATTATTTAAGAAGGGGGATGCCTGCTTAAAATCTGGAGGGTAGGCAACTTTTATTCAATATCTTAAAAAGAAGGTTTAGTTGAAGTTTAAATAAAACAAGATACACCTAAAATAAAGGAGGCCACTGGTTTAAAGAAAAATAATGAGCAGATACTCCCTTGCTTTTCTTATTTTCCCTGAACTCTATTTTATTTTACATGAAGTTTGGGGAGAATTGCTAAGATGAAATTTTTGATGGAATTTTTCAGAGATTATGTAACCAGAGACTATTTTCTTTTCCGTTTTTTTTTTTGTTTGTTTTTGTTTTTTTTTCTCGGAGTCTCTCTCTGGCGCCGAGGCTAGAGTGCAGTGGTGCAATCTCAGCTCACTGCAACCTCTACCTCCCAGGTTCAGTGATTCTCTTGCCTCAGTCTCTCAAGTAACTGGGATCACAGGTGTGTGCCACCAGGCTTGGATAATTTTTGTATTTTTAGTAGAGATGGGGTTTCGCCACATTGGCCAGCCTGGTCTCAAACTCCTGACCCCAGGGGATTTGCCCGCCTTGGCCTCCCAAAGTTCTGGGATTACCAGCATGAGCCACTGCACCCAGCTAACCAGAGGCTACTTTCTACATGGCAATATTTAAATGATCCAAGAAGGAAAAGTGAAGACTGTGTGTGTGCTTTACGTTAATGAACTATGATAATTTAGAAACATATATAAGTATCCACACTTTCTTATTTTCACAGAAATGCCATAGAGGAACAAATCAAGAAATAATTAACTAGATATATTCTCTTATCCTGTGAGCCAGCTATGGTAACAGAAAGCAGCTCAATTAGTATATCAGAGGAA